CAAGAGTAGCGCCACCAAAGAATCTAACATAAACATATTATAGCATACGTCTTCTGGAGCATTAAAATAGTGAGATTGCCATTAACCTTGTACTCGCGTCCCATTTCGTAACACAAATGATCGAGCGGGCTACATGCGAAGCCCGAGAGACTTTTGCCTTTGAGTTTTGTAAAAACTTTTTGAACCAGTAGTTTTCACAAAATGTTTATTTGACTATGATATGAAAGTCATTGAACTTTAACGATTGGCATTTAAATCCACCTGTTGTGTCTTCCGGATGAAGAGTAGGGATAAACGATGTCTATTAACACGCGAAATATTTTATTGAAAATCCATCGTGAGTCATTTATTAGTTTTGACAATAGTACATTGACCCAGAGGGGAAAATCTCTTGACATGTAAGTACGTATACCTACGGTTATAGGTGAAAGAAACACAACTCAAGACTGCATTCCCCGTTGGTGTTAAAAACTATTGATATCTGTACAGCTAAAAATATAGTAATGGATGTCTCCTTCGGTTTGTCCTTGGTAGCGGGAGCTTCGGGCATTGATATCACTACAGTTCTTTTGACTGGTTCGAGTCCGGACGGTGTCAGGGTGTTTGAAACCGGTTACATTGTAGTCGGATTCAAGCCCTGACTGGAAGAGAATTCTAGCAGCCAGCTGCTCTGACCGCTGGTTGTGAGTGGTTTCTCCGATCAGTACCAATCAAATGCCGCATAGACCCCTTCTCCTTTCCCCTTCCTTGTCTTATTCTCTGCCCTTGGACACACGCGCGCGCACACACACACACACACACACACACGCACGCACGCACGCGCGCGCGCGTGTGCTAGTATACGTCGCGAGGCCAGTCAGTGGCTTAGAGCTTGTCCTGGCTGGGGCGGTGCTGCGCTGGGGGAGATACCTGCTGGGGAAATCCCTCGCTGGATATCGGCGCCACCTCTCACCATCCAGTGAGGGAGAAAACATGAACTATACTTACGGAACTAATAACAATAGCAGTTGGCATGCCTGGAAACGACCGTGAATCAATATTTTTTTTTCTGAACCTGCTTTATATGTATGAAAGTATTGGAGTGCTACATTGCCACAAAATGCGTTACATCCACATTAATTTGTCATTTGTCGAATATTTATTAATTAGGATGTTCTGAAAGTAATAAGAAAATTCACATCGCTGTTGTTCTTTCGAGGTTATTTTCTTTTTTCAATTTTTTTTTTTTTTTAATTTGACTTAAAACTCCACCTGGATATCACTATCAGTACTGAAATCTTTTAAGAGGTCACTCAACCTTTCTCATCTGATAACTGTCGGAGATAAGAAAGTAGATAAACTCACAACTGACATCAACCGCATTCATTGTAGCATAGCAGCATCCTTTCTGTCTACTAGAGGAGACATATTCATCTATTTGTTATAATAGTACAGATTCTATCTACTCGTAATATAAATATGCATATCTCTTTTACAACAGTAGTTTCAGAAGGATGTCAAAATTGGCACATTTTAAAAAAGAGATCGAGCAATCAAAGTTTCTTTCGTTCAAATTAAAAGTGTAACACAATCTCGAATAATTCAAACTTCAGTGTTTCAGGTTCAAATTATAAAGTTTATTTTTCATTACATTTTACGTTTACAGCATTTGTGGTGTCACTGCAAAGTGATGGATGAGCTTAGTGTAAGTGGAACTTTGTTAAAGGGAATGATTTCTGAAAGTCCTATGACACACAGGACTATAAAGCAGACGTATATTTTCGAATTGTTTCGAACTCTAAAGATTATTTTCTAATTGGGGATCAGATAATTACATGGTTATGAATGTATTGCTTACAGGGTTATAAGATTATCTTGATTGTGTTCTGTTAAAACTGTTCTGTTGTAACATTGAAGTGAAATATACTTATAAATAAGGCGTAGGTTCGATATTTACTGGTAACTATGAAGTTTCAAAAAATATGAAATTTGATTTTTTAACGTTTTCTTAGAACCACGAATACAATAATGAAAGTTAAGATTTTTTCTTCAAAAGAAATTAATCTCCAAATTCAGTTTATTAATGTTTCGTTCATTTTTTTAATTGCGGAGGATTTTGCTCAATTTGGAGTCAAATATGGGTTTTATTAAAAATACTAAATTCAAGGTTTTCTCAAACAGTTCCATTTTTTTTCTTTAAACTTTTTATACGGATAGTGTCAATTGAACTGTATTAGGCGACATACAAGATGTCATTTTTTCTTCATTCTATTGTTTGTTTTTTAACTACGCAAATAAAATTTATTGGTATCTTACTCGCATCATTAATATTTATTTAGCTTAAAAAATGATTATATTGTTCTATTTATGAGTACCTGCGCTTAATATAATGTCGTAAACTTTTTCGAAACCTCACAACTTTCCTGAGAAAATGAGCTAAAAATATAAGCTTTTAAAAACTCTCAAACGCCATTAAAATACTGTTTCAAAGCATTCTAATTTATTTTATATGGGTAATACTAAATGCACTAAATAACATTACATCAATCCACTTTTATGTATTCCTTTGTTTTGTTTAAAAAAGTATGCACATTTTTTATACATATCGCAATTCGTTATTGTTTACATTAAGAAGGTTTTTATGCATCATTGCTTTTAAGTAGTAGAGTTTCAGATGATTTCCAATGAATGTTCTCTAAACATCAAACGTTTTCTTTGAAATTAGCTCAAAATTGCACAACTTCAGAAACTCTCAAATGATAATTTTCTAAAAACGTCTCCAAATGTTTCAAAGAAAATTTGCATATTGAACAAAATGTATTCTTCTGTAATATTCGTAAAGATGTGAGTTGTTCTATCATTAGGTGACTCAAAATGTGAGAAAACGTTTAAAAAAATTTCCGTAGATGGCCGCTGAAAAGAGGATGGAGTAATATAGAAGAGCTATTCGAACCAAAGAGATTAAAAAACTGAATAGTACGCGGGAGTGTGTGCCATTTTGTAGCACAACTTTTCTTTGTGGAAATGTGTTTCCTGATTTTATGAATTCCTCACACGACCAATAATGGCATGATTCATGCGTTCAAATATTACTAAAGATATGGAATTATATTGTTTTGTTGATAACTAAGATTATTTCTGCAAGAATATTCATTTCTCTTTCATATTTACAATTGCTTCGCATTAATGGATCATACTTGTTTCTTTAACAAAAAAAAGAGAATCTTAGAAAACATGTGCTCAATAGTATCTTGAGACAGAGATTATAAACGTTAGGGAACGTTTGTAATCTCTGGCTAAAACCATTAGGCAACATTTTTTCGGTAGCAGGTCTGGACCAAACAAGATATCTCTAGGAAGACAAATTCCAGTTGCCAACGCTTAACTCTCAATTAATACAATTTCTAGGTTTTCTGTGGTAGTTTCTTGTCCGTTTTGTGCCACCTCAATTTGCTGTCGTCCTTTGACTATGCAATTTCTATAACATATATAATAATTATAAAATATTATTTCTTTTTGCAACATCACGGTGTCCATTTCAAACATTTCTGGCAATAGAGATAGCTCAAGTGTTTTTCCTTGGGTTCCACTTAATTATATCCTAAAATCGGAGAAACGATATAATTTAATCCAGGATGGGACTCGTAACACCTTTTAATGGAAAATAACTGCTTTAAGAGTATTACGCATGAGCGAAACTTGGTTTCATAGTTTTAAGGAAAGATAAGGATTAATTTCATCTAATAAATATGAGGAAGTCAAAGAATTTTTTCGAAGTTCTGAAGCCATTATGATTTGTATTTATTTTTATTTTTTATTTTTGCTACGTATTCTAAAAGGACCCAAAGCATTTCGTTCTCTCCCCCACCTTGGTCCACACTAAAAAAAATTCTCAAGAGACCCATCAGTCACTTATTACTCGCTGGAACTAAACGCTCCAGACGTAAAAATAATGTCGCGCTGAGATGTGTCGCGTCTGTGTTAGAACACTCACTTGAGCCGAACTGTCGATGCACACGTGTTGAAATGCTGAGCTCAGAAGTGCGATGTTTTCCAACGATGTTTAATTATGTTGCCCCCGCACCCGCTGCGCGGAGACTGATGTGGCACTTCCGAGAACTGTTGGTAGAGAGGCTTTTAGTTTTTACTTATTAGGCCGCATCTTTATAGTCCTTTCGGCGCCCCTCCCCCGTCTCGGTCATCCTCCTTTACGGAGGGTTCCTATTGCCGGTCTACTTATCACGTGTACCAGTTTTTCATAACGGGTATCTCCACGTCCTCGGCAAATCTTAAGCCGATTTTCGACTGGAATTCTTTTGAAATTATTCTAGCCAATTATCTTTATCAAATTAAATACGTTTATCTAACAATATGAAAAAAACAAACAAAACAAGAATACAATGGTACAAATTCGAGGATATTGAGTAACTTCCATTTTAAACTATCATGTTCTGTCTATTCCAGATATCGTGAGAAAATGTATTTAGCTCAGAAACAAGTTTGCGATACTGGTTTAAAAGTTTTGAAAGTTGTTTTGAAGATTTTATTTAAACAAGAGTATTAAATTCTGGAAATAAAATTTGTAGAACCTATTCATTCTTGTTTTCAAAGTGTGTTAAATTAGCAAAAATTTATTGGGTTTGATAGATAAGTAAACATTTTATAAACGTTATTAAGTCTTACTTTCCTCGAGTTTACGCTACCTTTTGTTTCATTTTAGAGTTGCATTGTGCCTTGTTACAATTGATATTTTTGTTCTCGAACTCACTTTTTACAAGTTACTTCTCTGCAACGGAATATTTCACATTCCGTTGCAGACAATTCCCCATGATACAATGTTTTGCTATTGATAAGCACGATTCGCTCTGTTTAGAGCAAATAATGAACCCAAAACTGCACTTAAAGTCTGTACAAGCGGTAGGCACGAGGTACGGCCGCTTTCTCGAAACAAGAGATTAGATAGACTGTGTGCGTGTGTCATTTTTTTGGCCTTGATGATGATGTTGGTGTGTTCTTTACAGATTCAAGGAGACTGAGACCGTGCTGGACCGCTCGTATGTATTTCTTATTTCTCTCTTACTGTGCTTTCACGTAGAGCAGTGCCCCTTCTCCCCCTGACACGTGGCTCCTAGTGCTAATGCCGCCTGCCTCGCTTCACTCACCAGCAGAGCCCGTTGGCCCCGACCCTTCTGGCTCGCGTGGAATTTTCTGTTCGCATGCTCAGCCACTAACAGATCCAAAACTTCTAAGGCATTATACATCTTTGTTTGGCGCTTCCAAAATTCACCCCTACAAATTAGCGTTCTTCCAAAAACACCATCTGAAAGCATTTTTAATTCCCTTCCTTCGTTAAAGCACTGTCAATGTTTTTACGCAAATTGCAATGTATTAATGTCTTACAATACTATTATACCAAACAAATTTGTCTTCACATAAGATTCACCCAATAATCAATTATCCATGTAAATCAGTTTGTTCCTCAGCTTTGGACGCAATTGTCATCTTTTCTTCCATTCCACTTCTTTTGTTGAGTCCCAATTTCTCTAATCGCACATTTCGAATGGACGCTAGATCTGTTCGTACCCTCTGCTGCTTTTAATACATATACTGTATAAGTTTCGTGTTCTTTACCATATGATCGTGGAGGTAATTTATCCTAAATTTCCTCCGTACCCAAGTTAGTGCACAATTTTTACTCACTCTTAACTAGTTTATTTCCCTTTTTGTCCCTATTGTCACATTCTATGATGTTGCGTCTTCAGAATGTAGAGAAGCATGAGTCTAGGATTTAAATTAATTGGCTTGACGTTCAATTAATATCTTCGCTTGCGTTGTTCCCCAAAAGGATACTTCCTCTTGTGTGGAATTATTTTTTTTGTTCGCTGTCCATTCATCATTACTCAGATTATTCATGAACTGTACTGCTCTTTTCTCCTTTGTATGCGACGTGAATGCATCTGAAGCAATGACTAAACAGGGAGACGGTGATTTTATTAAATGTGTCTTTCGGCTGACCACCTACACCTTTAATTCACCTCTTGAATCTTCAAACGCACTTACTGATGCACACTTTTAGATGCAGTCAATTTCCTAGTATTGGCACTTCCTGCAATATCTCGTCAAAAGGTTACAGAAAAGCTGAATAATTTATCGTGTCAAATGACGTGGAATTTTCTTCAAATTCTAGCACGATCACCATTTACTGGCAGAAGGTTAACATTTGGGTTTTTTCTTGCTTGAGTAACATGCAATTTTAATAATTAATAATTTACTTTACTAACATTGTGCTGCAGTATGTTTACATGTATAATTTTCAGATTACGCTCGTCATTCAACGTAAAAATGAGATAGCTCATCACCATCAGTAGATAAAAATGTATCTACTACTAAAAACAATATTCTACTACTTATAAAAGAACTTTAAACGAAATACGCTCTGAACAATTAGTTTTCCTAAACACTTTATCCACAGTATTCAGTACGGAAAAACTATTAAAGACATCAATAGTTCACGAACTCGATAACGTACTAAAGAACATGGAGAATGTATTAATACGTAATTGTAAGAGCACATATATAATAAATATTTATATCTTAAGTGAAATTAAATTATTGAAGACTTCAATTAAATTTTTTTCCAAAATCCAATTTTTAATTTCTCCCGTATGCATATGTGGCATGTAGAAATATAACCTATAGAAAAACACTAGTCTCCAAAAAATAAATGTTGAAATTTCTGAAGGAAATGCACGTTCTAAAGGAATGGCCTTGGATACCTCCAAAGAAGTGTCAATTTTTTCCATCGGTCTCTCATCAATGTTAACGCAAAAATGATACTCCTTGATCAAACTGACCGAAATCCGAGTCCTGCGTATGTGAAAACAACCTTCTTTGGGGGGGATTACTTTCCTCTGGGCTGCTCCAATGCAAGAATTGCAGCCTGACTGTCCGCGGTGTGTCTATGTAGTGGCCCGCGTGCCACTCTTTCACTAGACTAGAGGCGATCGTGCTGAACGCCCCCATCCCCCTTCGTCAGCCCGTGGCTGCACAAGGGCTCCCCCCCCCTCCATGCAAGCAATGAGCCAGGGTATGTGAAGTGCAACTTACGCTAAGCTGCGCACCTTTCACGCTAAATGGCTTTTTAAGTAGATCTTTTACAAAAAGGCCCTAGAATATTTTTAAAACTTTTTTTAAAAATTGCTTTATTTTGTCTTAAATTGTTCGCTCAGATGGAGCATAGTGCGCTTACAAATATGGTACACGTTTGTATTTCAGCCTTTGGAATCTCGAAAATTGTAAAATGTAATGACACAACCGTATTATAACAATTTCCTTATTGCCAAAAATCGCACATGTATCGAGCATTAATTGAAACGTACTGGTCTTCAAATTGGAAGGTTCTGAAACAACAGGAAAACTTCTCCCACGACAGTGTCTTTCATTATTTTTAAACACTTCGTTCACTTTCCTTGATTTTTGTCTATGATTATTTAATTGCGAAGCTAGTTTAAACCTGGTTTTCTGTAAGTATGCAACATAAATTATTAGCCACAACGTTATATTCACATTCGTGGTGCAACAAAAACGCTGTAGGACTTACATTATTCGAAGTTAATTTCTTTTACATTTGGTGTGCAAATTATACCACACTATAAGCATTATCACAAAAGTAACTAAATGGAAATATAATTTTGCTAATACACGTCAGAGAGATATGCCACACATTTACGAACACCGAGGTATTAAAACTTTGTAATATCGGGAGGTTTGCTGAGGGTAGTGTTGGGTTATTTTGTTAATGTCTCAAGCACGTAAATTTAATATGCCATGGACAACATGAAGGCATAAAATCGTGGGCGTAGCAAGTACGTACGCACTCGCACAACAATACACGCACATAACCACATAACACGCAATACACCGCACATACACGCCATACACGCACATACACGCGCATACACGCCATACACGCGCATACTAAGCGCATACAACGCGCATACAGAGTACCGCGCATGACACCGCATACACGCCATGATATATACACGCGCGCATAAGTCATAGACGCGCGCACTAAATCCGTACACACGGGCATATGCCGTACACAGCGGGCATATTCCCGTACACACGCGGGCATATTGCGGTACCAGCGCGGGCATATGCGTAACACACTGCGCATAGTGCCGTACAAAACACGGCGTGCATATGCCCGTACACAGGCGGGCATATGCCCGTACACAGGCGGGCATATGCCCGTATACACGCGGGCATTTGCCCGTACACACGCGAGCATATGCCCGTACACACGCACTCCAAAGCATAGGTACACGCGCGCATAAACCATGGGCATATGAGCTTGTAAAAGAGTTTTGAGGTTTAATGGAATGCGAATGTATTCAAGAATATTTATCGCCTAATTAATTATAACGAGTAATAGAATTTTGGCAAATAGCGTAATTAGCTTACGAGATATAAAGTAGAAAGAAGAAACGCTTCACGCTTGCTTTCCTTCAATCGTAGGAAAAATGAAGTAATCTTGTACGAAAACCGTATTTGATAAAATCATTATTGACTATTACGAGTATAAGACACATATGTTGCGTTTTTTTTATTTATAGGCGTATTTAGATGTGATTTTGTCAATAGATCAAATTATTCCTGGGCATATGTATTGTGATATACATTTTATTTAAATGTGGATGGAATTCGATGTGAGATTTTATCGAAAAAATCATATCTTGACTTCTTGTACATTTCAAATTCATTAAAAGCAACGCAATGTAGTCAAACAGGAGTAATTTTTTGGTTTGTAGTAGGTAGGTTCATAGAAGCTGCAGTCTACAGTTGGGTGGCCCCTACCTGCGAGTGGATGTGCCGGGCGCCTTGGGCTCGCCGACCAGTCCCTTCGACGGGGCCGGGGAGCCAGGGCGGCGCGGCGCTGGGGGGCGTGGCGCGGCGCGGCGCTGCTAAGATTAGCCCGGGCGCAGTGCTGCGCCGCCGCTCCCCGCCTCTCCCGCTCCGCTCCCCGCTCTCCCCCTCCCCCTCGTCCTCCCGCTCCGCTCTGCTCCATCCCGTCCCGCGCCGTAGCCCAGGGGCCACGCTCCTTGTGCAACGGCCACGTCGGCAGGGGGAGGGGGAGAGATTCGCACAGCATTATGAACGCCCTTTAAATGACCGAAACGGGGAAGATGCGATTTTTGTTTTTTTTTTAATTTATTCCTTCTCGTTCGACCTGAGGTCTTCGGAGGGTTTTCAGTTTTACGTGCTGACATTTTTGGATTTCGTGACAAATGGAGATTAAATCACTCTAGATTATTTCATTTCCGTGTCGGAGTGATGTGAACTAAGGGTGTATCGTTTGAAGAAATGTCTTTTAGTCGAGAAAATTGCCTCATGAGAAGAATTTTCATTACTGAACATCCAACCTCAACTGTTGTTCTGTCGAATCGAACAATCGGATGATATACCAGATAATGTGATGCTTTGTTTCGCTGTCGACATTCTATCCTTCAACACCTACAAGCTCAATTTTATAAACATGCGCAATACATACGCACACATTTGCAATCATGTTCGTGCATTCCTGTACGTATCACCACAGTATCTTCTCATCCGTATCGTCACAGACCCATGCATACACAAACATGCACCCATGCATACAAAACCGCATGCATGCATACAAAGGCACTTGGATACTACGTACTAGTTCATGCAATGTAAGCATCCCTTTTGCAGATTCGCCATCTCGCCACCAGAAAACTCGGTTTCTCTTAACGTATTTGTATATATTAAACGTCAGCAGTTTTACCTCTGCAGGTTAAAATCACAACAAGCAAGCCAGTTACAGAAAACATAGTTTCTTTAACAAACGAATATCTATATTGTTACGACACATACACGTAAATATCACAATTTATATATCTGGATTATCTCCAACGAAGTTTAATTTGTTTGAAACCAAAATTACATTTTTTCATTCCTTTTCATATGTTAAATATAACGAGTTTATTTGATGTAGATCTACGTTCTCGTCGAATGGCTGAAGTTTCGAAAATGCCCAATATGGCGGTAGGCAAAAGGACAACGATGATTTTGTGTACACTCGCCATCTAATTGATCTG